GGAGTAGCTCCAAATTTATTCAATATAAAATGCACAAATCCACACCGTTGTCCCACTACAATATAATATTTCACGACACAAAATGCAGCTCTACACATTTTATAAGGTAAATTAAAATGTTAAATCAATAATCCAGGTAGAAATTCAGTTCACTGAGGAGGAAAGAAAGCAGAAAATATTCACTTCAGAGAAGCTGATATCAGAATTTAGGAAGTTTCTCAAACTATTACTCAAACCGATTCGTTGCAGCTCTATTGATAACCTCTGTTGCCTAAATGTTTACATTTTCTAGTGTGAAAATAAAGTGTGAAAATAATACTTTTACTAGGGTTTGTTTTTATTACACTTGTGTTTATGTTCTGCTTCTTGTTTCTATTAGCCGCTGCAGTGATCTAATCTTCCTGCAGACAATCATGCATTTTTCATCTGACTTCTGTTATTTATTTTATTTATGTTCTCCCTCTGACAAAGCTCTCCAAATTCAGCCAAACTCTCCCACCTCTCCTCCCAGGAAGTGCTGCGAGCGCCTGCATCAGCTGTTATTGTAGTCAGACAGCAGGAGACAACAAAATACAGCCTGCAGCAACGTCTGGCATATTCAGGTCACCCCACAACAAGCCAGCCAGCGCACCAGCGCACCGTTTCCACCACAAACTGGAGCTCAGGAGGGGAGACCCACAGCAGGAATGAAATCTCTTCTGATTTTGTCCTCGTTGTTGCTTCGTTCGACCAACAGCCCAAAACCCACACAGTATTCAAAGTTACTATAATGTAAGAGAAAGAAAAGCAGCAAATCCTCACGCAGGAAGAAGTTTGACACTTTTGCTAGAAATTGACAATAACGATTATTAAAATAATTGCTAATAAATTCTCTCTCCAGCAGTCTGATCACATTTGCATCCTGTAGCTGCAGCTTCTGCACTGCGACGACGACTCCTCAACTTTTCAGATTACCTCAACAACCAATCTGACTCGTCACCTGTAACCTTCCAAAGTGAGGCGGCGGCGGCGTTTAGAGTCGAGCCACTTGGATTCGTCGTGAATTCATTCAAACCTAAAGTAACTCGTGTTTCACTCACTCGAAAGAGTGTGACTCAGCACTTTCTGCAGCGATGTGCCCAGTATAATGCTAACGTGGTTCACGAAACAGACAGCATTCAGCAGGCGAGAGAGAAAATGACTTTCTTTACTCCTGCAAAGGTCGTTTCCAGCGCCGTTTGTTTGTCAGCAGAATTACAGGACGACGACTGTCCTGACTGTGGTGAACATACAACAGAACATAACCTCAAACGTCACTGCAGGAACAAACAATCAATCAGGGATGTGATTTACTGGAGCGGGGCGCCTACATGCCCGGGGCGGCGGGCGCCTACATGCCCGGGGCGGCGGGCGCCTACATGCCAGGGGCGGCGGGCGCCTACATGCCAGGGGCGGCGGGCGCCTACATGCCAGGGGCGGCGGGCGCCTACATGCCAGGGGCGGCGGGCGCCTACATGCTCGGGGCGGCGGGCGCCTACATGCTCGGGGCGGGCTCCTACATGCTCGGGGCGGCGGGCGCCTACATGTTCGGGGCGGGCTCCTACATGTTCGGGGCGGGCTCCTACATGCTCGGGGCGGCGGGCGCCTACATGCTCGGGGCGGGCTCCTACATGTTCGGGGCGGGCTCCTACATGTTCGGGGCGGCTCCTACATGCTCGGGGCAGCGGGCGCCTACATGCTCGGGGCGGCGGGCGCCTACATGCTCGGGGCGGGCTCCTACATGCTCGGGGCGGCTCCTACATGCTCGGGGCGGCGCCTACATGCTCGGGGCGGCGGGCGCCTACATGCTCGGGGCGGCTCCTACAGCATCAACAGAGAAAATGAGATGATGGTGCTGAAGTGTTTGTAGTTTTAATGAACTACCAAACATTAACTGCAGTAACATTATGGAGGTCGGTATTATTATAATAAAGTAATTTCCTTTGCTCTGCCAGGGCCGACTCTCCGCTCATGAGGTCCAGCTGCTCGTCTCTGGGCAGGAGGCTGGAATTTATTTTATTTGGACCAGCAGCAGCGGCAGCAGGTGGCCATTTGTCATCTGGCCGCTCAATAATTCAACACAGCGGCGGCCGCGGAGGCTAGCAGGGAGCGGCGGCCCTCTGATGTCCGCGCAGAGAGCCGAGTGTTATGACAGTTGGAGACACACACACAGAAATACTGTCAACACCACAGTGAGGATGACTGTGCTGCTGCAGCACGAGGGACGAAGAGGAGGAAAGAAACTAGACGTGTAAGGTGGTGAGACCGTGGCTTTTTAGTCTGTGGCTGTAAAGTGAAAGAAAAGAACGGCCTCATTACATTAGAGAGAACAGGACGCAGCGTTCAGCTGCATAAAGACAGACGGACATTTGAATACTTCAGTGACGGCTGACTTCACGTACTAGTTTTTTAATGTGTACAGCCTGACAGAGACTGGATTTTCAAGGTCAATATCACCACGATCATCAGTATGATAATGATATATTGGAAAATTATGTAATGTTTTATTAAACAACAACAATACAAATTAAACACTCTTAATACAGTTCCCTTAAAGATATTTTGCCTGAGATGGGCTTTCCGTTTCTTTGCACACTGATAATCAGACTGGTATGTGTGGCCCTGCGATGGACTGAAGACATTTGTTTTTATTTTCTTATAGATTCAATGATTCATCAAGAGACTAACTGAAAATGTATCAGGTTTAGGAGTTGATAAACTCACAGCTGATGTGGACGGTTGTTGATGAAAACTCAATGCAACACAGACGCCTCGTCAATCAGACATTTATTTGGGCGGTGATTCAAAGATCTGCAACCTTCAAATGGGTCAACAGAAACTTCAGGGTGTCGACATATGAACGGCAACTCAAACAAATGATGCAACACCTTTACATATTTACTGTTCGTGGTATGTAACACAAACACCATTACCCACAAACCCCAGACTTTAACCACGGGTCAAACACCAGCAGCTCAACACACCGACTTGTTAAAGCTGTTTCGGCCACTTGGCGGCAACGCAACAATCTGAACACCACACTGACATATTGAGCCTTTTTTTGTTTGCTTACTGGGACACAGAAAGATGGACTCCTGGGAGATTTGAACTGAGACCAGGACACATTAATTGCTTGTTGAACTGTGGGTTTTATATGGAATATATAATATTGTGTAACACACTGTGTGGAGAACTTCTCGTAGTCTGCAGGCCGACCTGTCGATATTATTTCATGCCATGACTTGACTCTCAAATTATCTTTCTCATATTATTTGATATTTCTTCTCCACCATAGCTCATAATAATAATTCACGCTTCACCTAATTTCATCATAACACCGGCCCGACCCACAAGAAACAACAGTGTGTGTTTAATCTAGCTAATACTGTGTTGGTCAGACTGCACACTGATTTACTGCATGTCCGTTTTGAATAAAACACAAAAGGTGAAGAGCTTAAAAATTAATCGCATATTAAATCGCAATATTGTTAAAAAATAAATAAATAAATCGCAATTAGATTATTTTCGTTCAGCCCTAATCAGTAGCAGCCTTATTTTAAACTGTGTTTGAAGTCCTGCATTCAAAACCTTACTTAACCTAAGTATGTAAGTATTATAAGCAAAATGTACTTAAAAGTACCAACAGTAAAAGTACTCATAGTGCAGTAAATGGTCCCCGTCAGTGTTTTACCATTATGCTATTAGACAGATAGATAATTTATTCAACCACGATGGGAAATTGCAGTTGCATCGTTTTACATAACCAAAACACACAATTACAGTTATGAAACATAAACTTCACACGTTATGTGACCAGTAGATCATGCAGAGGATGTAAAGTAGCAGCAGGATTCATTTTACTGCTGCATTTATGTGCATGTTTCATTTTGCGGGTAGTTTAATCCACAGCGATGCATCATATTCAGTAAAATCATCTTATGTTTGTAGCATCGCTGTCCACGAACTTTCCAGCTGATCTAAGGTTGCGATAGTTTATTCAGATTAAGAAGTGGCCTGTCCTCGTCCCCGTCCACCGGAAATGTCCTCGTTTTTAACTGTGCGTTAATCATAGACTGTGTAAGGTGTTATTAACAGACCTGGAGTCAGATTTTACCTGGTCAGACGCGTGTCGTGCCGACAAGGGAGTGAAAACTGATTGCGTGTGTGGCCAAATAAGTGTTTGCAGTTTAAAGTAATCAGGCCGGACATTCACGGGATTATAGGCAATAATTAGAAGGCTGTTGTTGCTGATGGATTATGTGTTTGGTCTTCTTAATGTCCCAAGAATGAACAGTAAAACGTTTGGTGAAGCAGCTTTCTGTTCTTATGCACCGGTGGCTTGAAACAAACTCCCATTACAAATAAGAGAAGCAACCTCAGCTTTAAGAAGCAGCTCAACACCTACTTTTATGCCTTTGCTTTTAACTGATTATAGTTATTATTTTATATTGTATTTATTTCACACTGTAGCCTTTCCCAGTTTTAATACCCGTGTTTTTGTGCTTGTTGCTGTTTTGTATGTTTTATTTATTTATGCACTTCTTTTTACTTGAGTGCTCGTGATGAAAGGTGCCATACAAATAAAGCCTTTACTGTAAATGGCCAAAACAAGCCATAAAACGCAGTAAGAGATTTCAGCTTCGACTTATTGACTGGAAAGTAGATTCTGCTTCAAAACGACTTATATTTGACAGAAATGAACACAGAACTGAAAAGGTTTCATTCCTCCAGTCTGCAGCTACCAGACGGGCAGTCAGACATGTTTTGAAGCATGTTTGTGAAACACTGCGGGGTGTGAACAGCTGTGCGACCTTTACTTTGAGCCCCCGCAGGTGTTTCGTTGTGTTTTGTAACACCGGCCGGCTGATGTAAACACAGCCGTTAGCTGCTACGTTAGCATCTTTCCCGCCGCTGACAGGCGATTTAAACCGGGTTTAACGGTCCGGCAGGTGCGTTCTCGTCCGCCGGACACCGTCTCTTACCTGAAGTTGTAGGAGGGGAACTTCTTGCTCTCTGCCAGCATCCTCCTGTACAGAGAAATCACCTGCGCTCGCGTGGACGCCGCCATGATGTCGCTAATATTTCTGCTCCACCACCCGATTTAAGCCTCAGGACCCCCTCACTGACGCGCGTCCAAAGACAGCGCCTGTGCAGAAATACGAGTTTCCCGTCACTGTTCTTCTCCTCGCGTTAATTTAATTTAAAGTAAACTCCACACGGACAGATCATAATGTCGTAATAAGTCAGCACAAAACTGTAAAATTCATTATTATTATACTCCAGCTACACACACACGCAGGCATCGTCTCCGCCGCCCGAACAGCAGCTCGGCGCCGGAGAGTGACAGACGGTGAGTTAGCTTGTCTCATTTTAACCTCTTAAAAGTTCACGTTAATGAACTAATAATGCGATTTAATGAAGGTTCGGTGTTGTGAGGTTAAAGAGCCTGACTTTAAAACACCGAGCGGCAGCGTGTCGGGCCACGCAGCCACGTATTTCCCCCCAACATGTCCTTGTTGTGGCTCAGCGTGTGTTCGCTGCTCTGCTGCAGACTGACACACCTGCAGCCTTGAAGTTCAACTGTGCAACTTCACAGAGCTGAATGACAGATATTATATATATATAAGTGCACGTAAGGTGTCATGCAGGCACGCGGCGTTGGCATCACTGTGTGCACGTGAACATGATGACCGTCAGGGTGACATTAAACCTCATGTTCCCAAGAGTCTCTTTAAACCATCCTGCAAGTTGCTGCAGACTTTTATAAAACATGTTTCCCACAGTTTGAATATAAATCTGTTAACACTGAGACCAGGAACCGTGTTTACCAAGTCTTTGTTTTAAGAGTCCACAAGTTTGAGACAGACCGGTCTCTGGTCCTGAACAAGTCATACTGTGCTCTTCATCAAATTTAATACCATTTCATTTAAAATAAAATATAACAAGAGATAAAAATAAACTTTACGTGTGTGTATACAGTATATGTGTATATATATAATTTAATGAATTAAAGGTTGAAAGTTTTTTATATCTTAATGTATATTTGGGCTTGGGGTGGGTCCCAAGTCAGTTCGAGTCAAAAGGCTCAAGTCCAAGTGAAGTCACGAGTCGGTGGCGTTGAGCCCCCGACGTACTTGCTTTATTTAACGCGTAGACAGGCGCCGGCGACGGAAACGGCGTTGTTCACATACTTGCCTGCGTACTTTGCGTGTACCTGGAGGATTAAACCTGAATCCGCTAGGGGGCAGAGCAGTACACCGGATCGTCCCTCGCCGACACCAGCTTATCTTCTTCGACAGCCTCCGAATTTGCACGTCGTAAATAAACCAAACACGGCGACACTCGAGCAGGTTGTGATTTTAATGAGACATCAGGACGATCGCAGTAATTGCGGACATAGATCTCCTTATTTCAAGTGTGCTGCTGACCTTCCTCGTATTTTGCGTTTAATGGCGGTGAGCTAGACCAACTGCATACCGCCACCTCCTGGGCTGAACTCTGAACTGCATCTCGCGGACGCGTGGCGTTAATTTCTGGAGACGTGCAGAACCTACGCTCCAGAGGAACGCAAACGCCAAATCAAACGTGTAGTTAAAAGCAGGTATATCCGGGTCAAGTTGCAGGTCTGTTTTAAATCCTCTCAAGTCGAATCTCGAAGTCACGTGACTCTGTGGAGTTGAGCGGCTGCAGCGTTGTTGTAAAAAGCTTAAAACACACTTTAATTCAGACGTTATCTCTTTTTCTTCTGGGATGCAGAAGACAAGCATAAAGCTGGATGTTGCTTTTCTTGCATCTCGTGCATCTTATCTGGGAATTTTATTTTATGCACTTGTTCTTCTCCCAGCAGCAGACGCTCCTGTTGTTGTTGTTGTTGTTGTTGTTGTTGTTGTTCTGTGTGAGAAATGTTAGAACAGTTAAATAGTAAAATCCAAATTATACATGATTTTGCTAAATTGCAAACCGCTGAGGACGTGATGGAAAATAAATTCAACCAGAAAATAGTAACAGTAAAACATCAGTTCTACATATTGAAGATTAGACGTGGCTGATTCAGAGGTCGTCATTCATTCATTCATTCATTCATTCATTCATTCATTTTATCAACGTGTTTCATCGCTGAAGTCAACAAAGACAGAAGAGTTTTACCGACAAAAAAAAGACAGAATTTAAGAACATTTTTAAAAGAAAACACACAGGATTTGAAACAATAAGGCCGACATGATCTGATGTGTTTGATTATATTTAAAGGCGCCAGGATCGATTTGGTCTGTCGTAAACTAAAACTCAAAGGAGGTCCAGTTTCCCGAAGCAAAAGTTCGGAACATCATAACGTCTGGCTGTATGAACATTAGTCAACAACTGTGTTGTCACATCAAATAATATTTCTATAATATTTGCATCAAACTGGAGGGATAATAAATAATGTATACGTGAGCTGTCCTGTCTCGTGGTGGCGCTTCACGTGGATGTCGACGGTCTCGGGTCACTTGGTTTTGAACTGCCCGTGTACGTCCTTGGTCTCTTTTCTCCGTCGCCTCCTCTCTTGCTCTGTGCGTCTCACTCTGAGCGGCGTCACATGAGACGATTGGTTTGGACCATTGGTCTGCGAGTCTCCTGGGCGGCTAGACCAGGACAGTAAATGCTAGAAAAGCCCCTTCTCCACCGCAGGACATTTTATTAGGCCACGTGATTACTATCGATTATTTACAAGTATTAGTCGACAGGTTAATCAATAACAATGTCTTAAGGGAAGGCTGAAGTGTCGAGGTCGTTCGTGGTGTCTGACCTTTTGACCTCTGGGTCAGCTTGAGTCAGCTCGGCCGAGAAGGACAGGAGTGGCGTTGGTCGTGGTCGTGGGTTCGATCCCCGGTCGTCCCGGGCCTTTCTGTGTCTGCGTTGGTTCTCTGCGACTTCCTCCCACCGTCCGAACACGTGCAGGTTGATTGGTGGCGTGATTAGGCGTGAGTAGGGCTGGGCGATTAGGCCAAAAATGTTCTCAAGATAAAAACATTTCACAACATTCACTATCGATAATTATCACAATAAGTGTCAAATGGTTATTTCTCTCAAGTTTAAAGGCTGATTTTTGCTCCTGAGTGAAAACTGAAGAAACCAGATGGTTAATTATGTGGTTAAACTTTTCTTTATGGTCAGAACGGGACAAACACTTGATGCCAATCAGCAAATCTGAGGCAGAACATTCAAAACAATTATGATAAAATCTCTTTTCAACAAATATGATTAGTAAATCTTTTTTCAGTCCCTTTGCCTCAACAAAATAAACATCTTAATAGAATCGTGATTCTAATGAATTAAATCAAATATTTCTGGACGATATATTGAACATATGTTACATTGCTATTGAGGAAAATTATATTGGGATAATTATCGTTATTGTTTGATTGCGAGTGGCCCTGTGATGGACTGGCGACCTGTCCAGGGTGGACCCCGCCTCCCGCCTTTAATGTCAGCTGGGATTGGCTCCAGCCCCCCCGCGACCCTGCATGAGTAAGCGAGTATAGATAATGGATGGTGTGTGTGTGTGTGTGTGTGTGTGTGTGTGTGTGTGTGTACAGTATGCTCTTTGGGGAAGATGTGTAAAAGGTCAGAGACGCATCCTGTTTGTTGATATCCTGCTGTCTTTTAGTGTAAAGGTCAGTGCCACTGCTGTGTGTGCTGTGTGCGTTCGTGTGAGTGTGCATGTGAGTGTGCATGTGCATGTGTGTGTGTGTGTGATATGCAGTGACTGTGTTGACCATTGTGTCTGTAAGTATTCAGGTTACCAAAGTGTGTTTTGTGCATGTTTGTTGGTTAAAACTCGGTTCATAACATTGATTGTCGCATCATGGTTCACATTTGTGTGTGTGTGTGTGTGTGTGTGTGTGTGTGTGTGTGTGTGTGTACATCTACCTTTGTGAGGACCAGTCTGAGGCCGACCTTGAAGTTAGGACGAGGGATGCACCGTTTTAAACTTTCTATCCCCAAAAACTGATCCAGTTGACCCCAAACTGCTTCAACTAGCAAATTATTTTCATTGCTGACTAATCTGCCCGTTATCTTCTAAATTAACCGATCAGTCTCTTTGCATCTCAGTTCCCCAAAGCGAAAGGTGACATTTTCAAATGTCTTACTGTGTTTGACCAACAGCTCAAAATATGGTAAAATATTCAGTTTATTACCACAGAAACCCAAAAGAAGAGCACACGTTATCATGAGAGACGCTGGAACCAGGGAACTTTAGTTCATTTTTGCTTAAAATTAACGGTTTATCAATTATCTTGATAGTTGCTAATTAATTATCTGCCAATCAACTGATTGTTAGAGCTGCATGCTAGGGCTGAGCAAAAACATATTTCCAGCTCGTCTTGTCAATTTATTTTTTGACCGTTAGCTCAATGCTAACATGTTATGGGAATCTCCACTAACATGCTAACAAACATTAGCATCACGATAATATAAGCTTTACATGATCTACACATTTTGCTTCACATGCTAAACATCCTGAACGACATAGTGTACAAATACTTACAGACCCGTGTTTCCTGAGTGAAATAAAAAAGAGCTGCTAACTTCACGGCTTGATCTGACCAGCTACGGCAACACAGAAGGGTCAATAGTCAAACTCAAAATTCCCAGTGTCCTAAAAACGGAGCTACCACGAGGTGGAGAAAAGGCAGCACGGCGCTGTGTCACTGAACAGCTCGCTTATAAATGTAATGTGATGTACATAATAGACTTAGGTGGTGCACAGCAATTTGTATTTTAAGCTCTATTTTAATAATGAAAATAAATTCAGTGAATTTGCATTTCTACGGGCCTTTTATAAATATTTTATTTCATAGTTGCTCTATAGTTATATAGAGCAAAAACATTTTGTACTCGCAGGGAATAAAGAGAGAAAACCTGCACTTTACCTTTTCACAGGTATTTTGTAATCATAGTTTTATTGTGATGTATCATTATAGGACTGACTAGCAGTATATTGATTATTGAGTTGCTGCCTCGTGATTTCATCGGTATCGTGAGCCGTGTATCGTGACGTACCCTATGTACACCCAAACCGAGTAGCCGTCAGTGAAAGGCAGCAGTCGGGATGCTTTTTTTTTTTTTTTATGAGGGCAACAGGTAACGATGATTTTAGTACTCAAAGCTTCTATAGATTTCATTTTCTTTCTCTTCCTCCACTTTGCAAACAGGTCCATTATAATCACGTCGTGTTCACAGCGTCAGTAACGTGATGCAAAGAATTTGCGTTGATGCATTTTAGTAAGGGGATTAATCGTTTCAGCCCTACTTTCTGTACATTGTTTGGAAGGTTTATAAAACTTCATCGACGACAGAAACCCCGCCTCATTCTTGTGAAGTGCCCGCGACTAACAGTTGACACAATCCAGTGTGGCATCACTGTCCAGACACAGACCTGAGCTGCTCAGTGAAGTCCTGTATGTGGCTGATTACCCCTCCACCTTACCCGCTCATCGACTCCGTCTTCTCTCGCCCCAGCGTCAGTCCTTATGAAGCTATAAAAACAATATGGAGGAAACACTTTTATTTGTGAAGCACAAGCAGGATGAAGAAGAGGAAGAATGATTTTAAAGGATTCATTTAAACCTTTATATCTCTATGGATTAATTACTAACGATTAATCTTTAGGTTGATTAATCCAAAAATCCAGAGAAATCCCAGAGAGATATTCAGTTCATCACGTAGAAAAGCAGCAGAGGAGGAGCTGGACTCAGGAAAAGTTTTGGCATTTGATTCAAACTATAGTTTCTGTCAGTTAATCAACTGATCGACAAATGGCTTCAGCTCCAGTGAACGTTAATAGAGTCACAGAGCACGAGGGCCACCAGTCCGATCGACCACGGTACACGTTCTCATCATCGTCGACAGAACACGGAGCTGCGCTGTTTCCTGTCAGGGAATGGATTATGTCAATGAGCGTCCTCACAAGCGAAGAAGTGTGTGTGTGTCTGCAGAGCGAGCTGACTGACAGATCAGTAAAGCCGGATTCCCTTCAGTCCCCAGCTGACTGGACGAACTCGCCGTCTAATCGGAGCTTTCAGTCCGTCAGCGCCGCTGCTCGCACTGAGCGCCTCAACGCTTTATATCCGGTGTCACATCTGATTCCTCAGCTTCAGCACCGACTGTGCAGACTGGAAGCAGCCCTGTCAGTGATCCTGGTATCTGACGTGAAAAGGTTTCCAGTTCACTGTCACAGAGGAGGAAAGAAACTAGAAAATATTCAATTTTAAGAAATCAGAAGTTTTTTTAAAAATCACTCAAAACTCTTAATCGATTATTAAAAATAGTTGTTAATCGTTGCCGCAGCCAAGAAATGCTTCTGTGAGGTTCCTTCAGCGTGACGCCAGCAGGGTTGCCACGCGTCCTGGAAAACCTGGAAAAACAGTCGACCAACTTTCCAGTCATGTAAAATGAGAGAAAAAGTAAAATGTCCTGGAAAATCTTTATTTTAACCTTGTGTTGCGGTTGCTCGGTTTTGTTGCTGCAGGATTGTGAACGACCCCCCTCCCCCAGAGTCACGTCACACGGTCGTACAAGTTGGATGACATTGATTCAAGTGGTCGATGGACGATCACGCCAGCTAAAAACAGAAATGTAGAACGCGGGAGTTGCTGGTCTTTGTTTGTTTGTGTTAATGTGTGAATTTCTTTTTTGTTTTGAACCCTTTAAAACACCAAAATCACACAATAACACCGACCGAGGCAGAAGTGGACCAGCAGCTCCCGTGTTCAACAAGGTAACATTACAGTTTTTGTCGATGGTGCTTTGATTAGAGCGATATAGCAGCTATGTTGCTCTCTAAATAAAGCTCTCTCTCTGTAGAGATCCTTTCCATAATGCTGTCAGACTTGTCCTTCACGTAAGTCTGCTTTGAAGTCTGACTATAAGGTGACTGTCTTTCTCTGCAAGGTTATTTTAGACAGATTCTGCAGTGTTGTTTAGAAAGTTCTGTTCAAACCCTCAGGTGAGAAATCGTCCCTGAGAGGTCCTGCAGCTGCACGTTGAGCCGACCTGAGTGTGTTTGATATGTTTGCTGGTTGTTTTCTCACTTTGAATCACCGCTGCGAGCTGCAGATTGAGTTTTCTTTCTCCTTTCTGCCTGGCGGATCAAGGCCCCTCCGACGCCCCTCGCATCGATCGCTTCCTCCCGTGTTCAGACCTGCGGAAGAATCCGTCTGGGACACGTCAGCCCGTGACCCGAACCTGATCGCCTCCAAACCCATCCGTCCGTCCAGCCGACCCTCCGTCCAAACATCCGTCCTCTCCGCTCCAGTCCTGCTCCTCCGGATCAGCAGACTCTTCTGCACCATTCGTTCCACGGACTTAAGCAGGTGTGTGTTGTGATATTTCACTGTGTTGTATTGATCGCTGTTCTGCGCTCTGCATTTTCCTTCTATCTAAATGCTTTGCTTAATGTGTTGCGAGTGCACCTGTGGCGTGCACGTGAGGCCACAGTAGTTTTATTTTATTTTTTTTACCAGGACGTGTTTTCGCCATGCTAATGTGACCTCCAGCACCCTCAGCCGAAGGAGCTCGCAGGTTATAAACGCTGTAATGGGGAAGGTGGCTGAAAAGTCTTGCATGACATAACAGGCACGTGGCGGCCATTTTCCTGCCATACTCTGGTGTCTTTAGGCGATTTTATTCTTTTCCACGTTATCACTCTGTGTATCACTTCTGCAACGCTTCCAGCTGAGGGGCTGTCAGTCACACAGTCTCTTAGAAAATGCATCTATGTGCTGTGAATTTGTTTCACCAGGTGTGTGTTTGAGGGAAATTCCTGCTTTTGTTTTGACTTTTTCAGACCACAATCTTTTCCTGACCTGAACCTGTGAGTGTCTGAACAGAACTGTAACATCGGGCCTTAGTTGCTGCAGATAAAAGCGGATACTGTGAGGAAAGACAAATGAAAACTATTTTGTCTGTGAACGTGTTTACTTATTATATCCGTTCAGATATCCAATACGAGTGAAATTCCACGATTCTCGATACCCAATTCGATACCAAAAAACATTTTTGTTCTGTGGTTAAAAACAAAGGAGTTATTGATGATTGAAATTAGGTATGGACCGACAGACGATGCCATCGTCCACCGTTTTCACTAGTGATGTGCGATACCACTTCATTCCTATACGACCCAATACCAAGTAACACCCAGGCTGGTACTTTTAGGAGCAGGCTGTGGCCTTACCAATTCAAAATAATAGCTGCATAATGACAAGACATCAAACTACTGTCATATTCTTTACTTAAAATAAAAATCTCCTGCTCAGAACTGCTGCTTCATAACATCTTCATATTATTGTGACTTCAGATGTTTAGCGAAGTTTGCAGTGTTGCCAAAGTGTCTTTGCACACACATCACACAGAGCAACATTATTACCTTCACAGCTAAAACAGTTTACAGTCAGCCAGTCAGTATTCAGTCACTGGAAATGTAAAGAGCTGCAGCGACTCACTTCAAAGAAGCTGCGTCACAGAGCTGTAGCGCAAGCATGACTTTGACAGGCGGAAGGAGAAGTAGTTCCTTTCAACAGAGTGTAATTAGACCATCCTGCTGACAGTAAGATACTTATGATAAAACACACACTCACTCCAAATGACTGAGTTTAGATATCGATCCTTTCATATGAGTATCGATCCCGGAGCGGGAAACGTTTAGGATCGATCCGCACTAGTCTTCACCCAACAGGTGCGCCAGCATGCTTATCTAGTCTATCAAACGGTCAAAGCCAACGTGGCTCCAGTAACATTTGCACTCATGTGTTCACTTGTTGCTTTACCTGGTCCGTGCTTGAAAAATGTCCACAGTGTCCGCCGTGTCTTCTAACGTAACAGAAAGTGTGGGAAACACATGCCTTTATAAGAAGACCCCTCCCCCCACCCACAGTGTCCATCATGTTGAGTTTTTTCAACCAGGAAGTGACCATATTTGGACGAGACGCTGGAGCTAACGGCCGTGTGTGCGGAGCTAGCTAGCTTGCTTAGCCAGGTGCGTCTGTAACTCACGTTAACTGTCATTTTAACAGGCTGATAACTTTTTCTGGTAGAACAACAGTCTTTAAACTAAATGTGCCGACTCCTAATAAGCTTTTTCAACAGCGCTGGTTAAATTTACACAGCGCCGTGGGTCGGCTCTAGCCTGATTGACAGGTCGCCAGGCTAACTAATTGTCAATCATAGATTCCCCTGCATCAAAATACTCCTCTCATCCCCTGCTTCCTGGTCTCTGTTCCTCTAAATGGGACCATAATTTACTAAATGAACATCATGCTGTGTTGAAGAAGACTTGAAACTAGCGACTGAGACCAGAAACTCATCAGGAAAGTGTTTACTGAGGGAATAAATCAGCTGACAAGTAGAAACATTTTCCCTTTATTTCTAATGGAGCCGGACTTCTTTTTGCAACCAGAAGAGTCGCCCCCTGCTGGCTGTTCAACACAATGCAGGTTTCAGGGACTTCGGCGTTGGCTTCGCGTCTCGGACCGGAAGCTTCCCGCTTGTTTCAGACAAACAGGAAAGACCTTGTAGACACGGTGGCCAACAAACAAAAGCAAATACACGAGCGGGTTAACAAATGACGTCAGTTACAGGTTGGAAAACTCGTACTGAATAAAACATTAAAACTCTGTGATACAAAAGTAGTTTCAAAATGTTCTGAATGTCATTACGCGTGCACGCCGCTGGTGCTCATGCAACCACAGCAGCCTGGATGTTTACTTATGACTATTGTGTCTCCGACCTCTCTCCCTCTGCTTGAACACACATTTATGACGGTTTCCAGGGATTTTAGGTTTATCTGGAGTTTAATGTCACGCTCTGAGGAAATACAAGTCAGCGCCACAGATGTAAACACACCCGACCTCTGCTTTAATTGGCAGAAAAAATGCAAATATAGTTAAAGCTTTGATGAGGCGGAGAGGAGCTGGAGAAAGTCCAAATCAAAGGCTGCAGCGACTGGACTGAAGGCAACATCTGGGCGATGATTCATAATGTTAGACCTGCAGGAGGTCAGTAACTCCTCAGAGCCATGGAGGCGTTTTTTCTTCTGCAGGTTGTAATTGTGCGCTGATGAACAAAACAAACACAGTAACTGACAGCAGATGTTGGGAGAGGCTGTGTTGCAAGTTGTTTACTTTTAATTATAGAGCCTGATGATTCTGTGGTTGTTTTCTTAATGTGTAGTGACAATTTCTATTGCCAGCAGATTCCAATAATCCCACAGAAGACGTGTACAATCAATGGGCGCTCACCAGCCGACCAAGCAGAAGAGGAACACTGTAGACTCACTAGTGGACAAAAAACAATAGCAACAGTTAAATATTGTTAGTGACGCAGCCTATCAAAACGAAACCAACGTGGTACCGAATGACATCTGCACCGGTGTGTTCACTGTCGCTTTACCTCGTCTGTGCTTGTAAAACATCCACCGTGTCCTTGTCTTGTAACGTAATCGATAACAACTCTGTGTTTCTCTGCAAAATGCTAAAAATGGGCCGCCAACGTGGCAGACGATAAATACGCTATATGGGAAAAATCCTTTTTCAGGAACACATAAACAAAGATTATCCCCAACAGTGTAGACCTCAGCAAGATAACACGACGTAATGCACTTTAAAAATAAACTTTTTTATTGTGATAAATGGTAGATTTGTGGCTTTGCAAAAATGTGTTTTGCCTACAGGGGAGTTGCAGAGCGCCGTCTGGTGGACAAACCGTGCAATAACAACACTCCTAACGTGATTGAAGGATTCGTTTTCTGTCTCTCCGTTTCTTTTTTATTTGCTACTTATAGGGAGGGATGCACCGAAATGGAAATTCTTGGCTGAAGCCGAACATAATGAAAACATTTGCTGAACACCGAACAAGTACATTCACATTTTTCCATTTATTTTATTTTATTTTATTTAGTTTTTTCCCCCCATTTTATAAATTAAATAGTCAAAATGTGCTTTTTCCTCAGTGTTTCCCACAGGATGTAGAGAGACTATGGTGGGGGGTCCGGGGCCCGAGAGGGTCCGGTAAAGTAAAATATTTACAGTTTCAGTTACCGTAAAGGCTTGAATATGTGTGCAATCCAAATTTAGGTGCGGCTAGCTTCATCTCCTTCTCACAAACGAGTGACTGAAACACTCAAAGCAGTTATTTTCTAAGAAGTCAGTCACAGATGTGCTGGGAGACGTCTGCAAACTGGACAATTTAAAATGCCGACACGTCAACGTGATTGATCGGTCAAATAGTCTTTTGACTTATTAGGGCGAACACTGAAAGTGCTTTTTTTGCTATTTTCAGACGATTAATTTGGGTGGCCAAACAATATGTGCATCCCTACTTATTAGCTGTTATAAACACAGATACCGATTCATCTGCAATTAGCTCATATCGTCTCATTGTAGCATCTGTATAATGATTTTAATGTTGCTAGAAAGATGAAACAATCCTGCAGAGATTTGGTGCTTATTAGTCTTTTTGGACGCTACCACTACCACAAGTCAGCAAGTTCAAACTCTACACATAAATGAAACCTTTTTGCTTTCAAAGAAAGGGTTAAATAAAAAAAACATTAGTAAACATTAGCTGTCTGAAGACCAAACCTGACTCTCACTGCCGTATTAATTCTTAATTCTTGACTCTTCTCTCTGCCTCATCGCCTTACCGATCTGTAAACCAGCATACATTTGGCTGTGCTGTGTCTTGCTTAGTGGCACGTAGGCAGGACTTACAGCTTGGGTGAAGTTCAGCCGTCTATCTAATCAGGAAACCTCCCAGATTTTCTAATGAGACTCACACACACACACACATATATATTAGCACTGGATGTCCACCTGCAGTCCAAATTAACTCGGCAGCCTCTATCCCTCAGTTAAGGGTGGGGGATCAGAGCTGCAGCCTTCATTAGCTTTCGTTAATAAGGGTATCCACGTCCAGCTCGCTCCCTCTGCCTTCGCCTGTAATTACAGCAAATGTAGATTACAGCCAGGGAGACATCACCTCTGACTCTCGTCACGCCGCTCGCTGCAGTCGTGTTTGCTGGACTGCTGTTTACTGCAAACCTTCAGATGTGTTTGGGAAATGAAAACACTTCACATAAAGGACAAGCAGGATGAGCGTTTAGCATTTAGTGAAGCTCTATACACAATAAAAGGAGCACTGTACATTTTAAAGCATCTCCGACTGCAGCGGTGTCGAAACCTTTTCCCCCTAAACAAGCTGAACGTTATTCTCGTCTCAAAGGCCGCATTTGAGTCATCAAGATCGTTTTCTCGTCTATCTCTTGGTAAGACAGCATATAAAAACAATTCACAAAATAATCCTTTAAGACTTTAAATAC